TGCTTTGGGACTCACTATCTAGTCAAAAAGTGGGGCTCCCCAGTTTGCAATAATATTTCTGTGCTAATGAAATGTTTCTGTTCCCCTTGGACCTAACTCGAGTCTGCTGAAACTCTGGCTGTATTGAATTACTATGCTGTATCTACAAATATTAAAGCTCGTAAGGCCACTGTGAAATGGACAAGTGCTATGCTTGTTTTCCAGATGAGTAAACTGAGACTAAGTGACTTGCCTCCAAGATCACAAAGCGAATCTATAGCAAAAATAGGAAAGAGACCCAAGAGTCCTGACTCCCAGATGCCTGCTCTAAACACTGGCCTGCACTACACTTCCAGATGCTTTATTCTAATAGTTTTCACCAAAAGAAATCAAAACAATATTAGACTGAACTAACCTGTTCTTCTAGTGGCAGGAGGAATAAGCTTATAGGAGCCAACAAGCTCTAACTGTTGCATGTAAAATCCAATGCACTGAAAATGTACTACTAACCTAGTCCATTGTGATGAAATAAAGCTAATATAGCTAGACTATCCTGGGATGGAGATCTGCACAACCATTCACTTCGTTCTTCTGCGCAGGAAGGGCCACAGATCCTATTCAATGGGTTTCTAGCCTCTCCCTTGCTGCTGTGGAAACAAATTAAACTCTGCAAACTGTGGCTGTCTTTGCTGGGGGGGAGGGCGGGAGAGTGCGTTTTTACAGAGATAGCTACTGCAATGTAAAATCCTAGTGGAATCAAGCCACAGGTAGCTTTTACTTCAGTGTAGAGAGTCTAAATCAATACCAGGTGGACATTCATGTAGCTACATCAAGGTATTTGAATCATTCCTACACATAAATGCAATCTTTTCCAGCTCTTTATTATTATTATTATTTATTATTACAGGAAAGTAGGCAAACATCTTGAGTGTCAAATGGTTTCACCATGTAAAAAGAGCCTCCTTGTAAAATAAAATATCAATCAGAACAGTGTGTACTAAGTATTGTGTACGCTAAGTCTCTCAAACAGTTTTCATTATGCCTGCAGAAACGTTGAAGTCTTAGGTTTATTTCTGCGCCTGCATATCACGGGCCACAGGCTCATTAGAAATGAAAACTTTTACTTTAGCCATCTGTGTACAAATAGCATACCTATGTGCAGAAATATTGAGAGCCACCACAACGCCAAAGTAATGTTTGAGGTTCACCTAAGCAGTAGATTTTGCAGTGTATCTTGCACAGAATGTATTTAAAGTTATGAGAGAGAGAAATCAGCTTGTTTGCCAGTAACACTTGCTAATACTTTTCACTCTGAACAACCAGAAATTGAGAGTGCTGTGCTCAGTCCAGGGTTGAGAAGCAAGAACCTCATGTTGCTGGTCAAATTTTCAATAGCGCCTGAATGATTTAAAACTAGGTCCCACATTTAGGAACCTCAATTCTAGTGACTATCAATGAGATTTAGATTCCCCAGGGACTGATTCAAACCCCGCTGAAGTCAATAGGAAGTCTTTCTATTGACATTAGTGAACTTTGGATCATGCCCTAAGTGCCTAAGTCACTTGAAAATGAGACCGAGGCTCCTAAGTCACGTAAATGTTTTTGAAAATTATACTCTGTCTTCCAAGATGATTAAGGAACAGCATTGAATGGTGCCAGTAAAAGCCGTATCCAGTTCCTGGCCAGAGTTAGCTGCACTGCAAGGCTTTGATGGTGGGGATGAGCAAGTCAAAAGAAAAGGAAATAGGGCCTGCTCCTGCTCCATTGCAGTCAGTGGCAAAGCCCCAATTGATTTTAATGGATCAGCATCAAACGGGTGAGGACGAAAAGGTGACCCTCAGGATTCCTAGCAGTGAAAAAACAATGGAAGGAAATCCTGAATTTGTAAACTTAATTGTGCGTATCTTATTGTATGTATCTCTGCCCACTAATGTAACCCTACAGAAATGAAATTCAGCTGGTACCGTGCAGGTGCAACAGCTAACACAAAGTTATCTTCTACTCTGTGTGTGCTGGTGAGATGGAGAGAGAATGGCACTGCTACCTTGGTATTACATAGTAATTATAAAGCATTCACCTGCTAGTAAATGCTACACTTGAGTTAGCAAAATGGTTTTATAAGTAAGTGCCTATTTTCTCACCCTCAAAACATCCCAAATGGTGTTACTCTATAGATTGGAGCATGGGACACTTCAGCCAAAAAAGCAAATTTTACTGAGCATTTGACCAAATTCACTTCAGCTGTTGTTGAGTTTGTAGACAATTTTAAAAATACTCTGCATTTAAAAAAAATTCTATTGACTTTTGTTTTCCCCAAGTCCAGTTTACAGCAAAAATGGCTGAAGCGTGAAATTTAGCAAAGTAATTTCTGTGCTAAATTTTCCATATGTTTGATTGTGGGGAGGAAATGAAAAATTAAACCAGTTGTAATGATTCATTTTCCGGAAAGAGGGCTCAGCTTTAAAAGTACTTAGGCAACACTTAGGAGGCAGGGTGAACTGCGTGTTTTCTCTGCCCAGACCTATAGACAAAGATCTGCTGCTCTCAGGTCACGTATTCACTGCAAAAGTGTGTATGAGTGGACATTCTGTAATATAACGCAAAAAGAAAAGGAGGACTTGTGGCACCTTAGAGACTAACAAATTTATTTGAGCATAAGCATTCGTGAACTACAGCATCCGATGAAGTGAGCTGGTTTTTAAGGCGCTATCTTAAGATAGCTACCATGAGGTAAAAACCACCTTGTTTTATCATGTAGACATAGTCACAGCTGTTGGCGCCAGTTGAATGTGGGAGATGAATCTCTCATTGAAAGAGACACAGCAAATCTCTTCCAAAATCTGTCTTGCTTTTGGACATAGCAGAAACTCATGGATGGGAAATTAACTGCTGATCTTGTGATTTATAGTGCCTAACTGTGAGGTGTTCACATATTGTGCAACATCCTGTACATTCTAAGTTTTTGTTTTAGTTTTTTTCATTGTGAAGATACAGCCACCGGATGCGTTTCTACCTTATTAACTAAGCCCTGCAAAAAAACTCTTTGTAGCCAAACAATAGCAAAAACAAAGGTATGTTCACTTTAAGGAGGTGTAAACTTCAAAGCCTAGTAGGAATTATTCAAATACTAACATTCCAAAATACAGGCAATGGGCTTTTACTGGGAAAAAACACAACCAAAACCTTGCTAGGGCCAGATTATCAACTGGCGTAAATTAGCATAGCTCCATGGACTTCCACAGAGCAATACTGATTTACTCCAACTGAGGATCTGGCCCCTAGAAAGTACATGCAAAAAAAAGTATTATACAAATTTTAAATTGCACAGTTTAAAAAGAAGTCTCAAAATGCAGAAGCTGAGGTTCCTACAGTAGCGTGACTAGCTACATTTCCCAACCCTGAATATTACACTGTACGTTTACCAACCTTAACAGAAAAACAGGCCTGGAAAATCTATCCTAGGTGCACCCACGGCTGTGTTAGCATTATGATAGGAACTTTAATTTTTGTATTTTGGGGTTCTATTTTATCTGCTCAAAACTCCTCCTGTGGGAAACCCTCTGGAGATGATCAAAGGGAGGAAAGCTCACCAAGGGAAACCACTGGCACTTACCCCAGGAAAGAGCCCAGTGGCTGGCCTGCAGAACTGTGGATTCTCCAATAGTCATTGGAGATCAGGGTCATCAGTGCAGAAGGCCTGTGCTTCAACAATAGCTCCAGCCAGGGCCTGCTGTGTGCCCCTTCTCCAGTAACCAGGCTTTGCAACTCCCGCAGAGATAAGTTGCTAAGGAGTTGGACTCCCTTTCAGGAGCGTAATGGCGGGGAAATGCAGGGAAATGGAGTTTACCTACTTTGCATTTGGGGAATATGGAGTTCAGTTTAGGTTAGCCATTTCTATTTTTTTACCTCTACACCACTTCTCCTTTTTCCTTATCTCCCCACTCAACCCTACCTATGGTTCTTCCTCTCCACTTCTCCCACAGGGGGTACAATGTGCTGTGGGTGTGGTATGAAAGTTAATACAGCATCAGGATTGAATTAAATTTTATGTGGATTCTCCTCAGGCTTGGTGAGGGGATGATGGGGGTAGTGCACTCATCTTCACTCCCTTCAAAAATGTAGATTCCCGATCCTTTGCAGGTGCTTTCCAGGCCTGGGGGATAGGCAAGGAGGGAAAGAGGGGTGGGGAAGAACTGTCATTTTCAGCCTGTAAAGTCATACAGCATTAGTTGTTTTTCTTAAAGCACCAGCTCCTGCAGTCACGGGATTACTTACAAATCTCTGCTTTCATTTAAAAAAACAAATGGTTTCTAACCCTTGTGTTTGCAGAGAAAAGATTGAAAACATGACAACGAAAGGCTTGGAAATCAAAAGGAAAATTAATACACCCCACCCGCACAAATTATTATTTCTGAAATTCTCATGATTTTAAGTCCATCTCCATTTAAAAAAAAGGGGGGGAGACCTTGACGCATGATCTCATGGTTTGGGATACTGAGCCCCTTAATGCAACATGAATGACCTTCTGCAGGTCTAAGTTAGATATACAAACAGCAGGTGGGTGCATCGCAAGGTTCTGTGTGGGGCTGCTAGTTTGGCTGAGGCTTCAAAAATTCTGAAAGCAAGTATTAGAGAAATCATAATATCATTAGCAACAGTTCACCTGCTCAGAGTAGCAACTCCCTAACTCCAACAACTCACTACAAGCAAGTGCTCTTGGGGCTGCATGACAAACTAAGCCTTGTTCCTTTCAAAAGGGTTTGAGTACTTAGTTTAGAAATAAAGCATCAGAACTGCACCTGTCATATAGTCCAAGTCGACCATAACGCTTTACAACGTGTCTTTCTTTCAAAGGTTAAATGGTTATCATAGCAAACAGTGTGTTTGGGCCGGAGGGGGGGGGACTTAATCTGCTTCTAAACTCAGTTTGAAGAGTGAACCATTAATAAATTAATAGAAAATCTCTTTAGATATATAAATGAAGCTATAACACAGGAAATATAGAGGAACTGCACACTTACCCAAAATGCATCTTTGAACTGCAGCTGTGTCATGCCTATTGATTTATGGAGGGGGGGAAAATCCTTGAACTGGTTTGCTCTGAGAGCAGAGTAGCAGCGGCACTCAGCTTTGCTGCTGTTACTATACACCAGCTAGAGCAGAAAGTGAAACACTTCCACAGTCCTGTCTCTTTCAAAATGAAAAACAGCACTGGGCAGTTTGAGGAAGCTCCATCTGCTACTGTGAAGAGAAAAAAACTCACTAACAAAAAAAAAACCCAGAAAAACAGCCTAGCTCCAAACCTGTTTCTCTTCTGGTAAACAGTTAATACTGAAATGAGGAAGCAGAGGGATGTCAAATGATGTCAGTCTGCTCCTCGCCGTGTGTGCATGTGAGCTACAGGCAAAAAAAAAAAAAAAAAAGGTGATCACAGGATCTGATCAACTACACAAAGAGAGAATACAATAAAAAAATAATAAGGAAACCAGCATAATAGAAAGAGACAAACCAGGTAGGAAATCAGATTAAAATAGTCACTTGCTGAGGAGGCATTGCAGAAAAAATCATGCACCACATTTCTTCATAATCTTTTTGGCAGAAGTTCGTACCCACACACGCACAGGAAGTGTAGCTGCAAAGTTACATTTTGCAGCCCCTTAGCAGGACTGAGGAAATCACAATGTCTTCATTGCAAATATATATATTTCTCTGATTTGCAAACTGCCTTCATACAGATGTCTTTGTGACTATAAAAAAAATAAAATATAGCATGCACACTGCCATTGGAATGCGAATCTGGAGCTTTCTCCTGACATCATTGTGTAAGAAATTTTAAAATGTGATGATTCAGTAAAATGAGTGTTAGCAATGCACCCTGTGTGATCTGTCAAGTCATTTGCATATAAAATATTAAGGGAGACACTGTCTCATTTACTAAGAAGCTGGATAAGTGAGATCTAGAGGTAAACTCCAAACTCTTTAAAAAGTGAGGAGTGAGTGAGAGGTTAGTTGGAGTTAACAGCTTACCAGCACAGAGGTCTGAAGTTGTTAACCATTTTGAAGAGCAGACATCAAGTTGCAGTGGGGGAGGTTTAGATTGGATATTAGGAAAAACTTTTTCACTATGAGGGTGGTGAAACACTGGAATGCGTTACCTAGGGAGGTGGTAGAATCTCCTTCCTTAGAGGTTTTTAAGGTCAGGCTTGACAAAGCCCTGGCTGGGATGATTTAGCAGGGAATTGGTCCTGCTTCGAGCAGGGGGTTGGACTAGATGACCTTCTGGGGTCCCTTCAACCCTGATATTCTATGATTCTATGATCTAATCTAGCAGTGTACAGAACACCTTGCCCACTGAAGCACTGAAATGCAGTGTTTAAAACAAGTAGCTAAATCGGATGACAGATATGTTTATAGGCCTGGAAATAATTGGTACTAACGTGATACTTTTCTTTATTTGAAACTATGACTTGATTCTGCTTTCCTCTTTACTCTACAATCGATGCAATTTGTCTATCAGTCCCTTTCAATATTTTTGAGGGTTTTTTATTTTAAAGTTCTGACTGGAATTTGAACAAGGAGCCTTTTGAATGTGGGGGTACGGAATAGCCCATACAAAGCTCTGGAAATCTGGGTTTCCCAGCAGCATACTATCCACTTCCAAACCTGGCCCACTATATGTTCATTTCAAATGTCTGAGGTACACTCAATTAATTTTTAAATCTGATCTTTTGGAACAGCACTTAGAATTGGTCTCTTTCTTTGAAGGATCTCAAAGCATTTTGCAGAGGTTTCCTCTGATCCTACAGTCAGTTCTGCACAGGTAGATCTTGTGGCCACACAGAGCCCTGTTGACCTCACTGGGCCTCCCCGTGGACATAAGTGTCTGCTTACAGTGATCTATTTGTAGGATTCGGTCTGCAATTATTGTTACGAGACATGCACGTAGTGATGCAAATGTAACATAAAATTGACATGTTCCCTAGCCCCTGAAGTTTACAATCTGAGAGACTAGTCACAGGACAACTGGTCAGATCAAGAAAGATGAGCAGAGGGTATTGATGAGGAGAACAAGGTGGGAAGGATTTGTGGAAGTAGTGGGATTTCCGAAGAGGGAGGGCACTTGGTGGACTAGGCATATGAGACTGTTCAAACCAGCGTGAAAGAGGCACGGAACCATGAACGGCAAGGAGAAGACTAAGGGCTCAGTCATGCAAGGTGCTGAGTACACTAGTCCTGATCAAGCACAGCCCTTGAGCAAATGCTTCACTTCAAGCATGAGAGTTGTCCCACTGCCTTCCATGGTTCTGCTTGCTGGCCTCAATCCAGCAAAGGATTTAAGCATAAATACTCAGCATCTTGCACTGTCAAACCCTAAGGGAATAAGAAGGAGAGAACATTGGGAGAAGCATAGAGAGTGTATAAAAGGGCATTAGAAGGAAATGAGAGCAGAGATGTACAAGGACATTTTATCCTCAAATTGAGCCTCCCTTCTCCTATGAGAAACAGAAGTATTATCTCCATTTTAGAGACACAGCCTCCCTGTGCTTCAGTTTCTCTCTGGCTTACAGTCACAAAAGACAGAGCCAGAGGAGGAGCCTTGGAGCCAGGATTCCTGGGTTCTATTCCTGGCTCGAACTACATATTCTAGTTTATAATGATCCACAGCTGCACATATATTGTTTCTCCTTTTTGATTAGAGTAACGAGTTGAAGTTCAGGGCTCTGTGGGTGTTCCAGTGGGGTATAGAAATTGGTGGTAGCCAGGTATTTCTTTGATGTAGTTTTGTTTATTTACAAGGAACGTACAAAGTCTTGTGTCTCTGAACACAGAAGGAACCAAGAACAAAAAGGAGCAGTTTCTTGTCTTACCAGTCCCCCAACCCGCCGTCTTCTTTGAGCCAACACCAAACCCAAAAACTCTCTCTCTACCTCTCTGTTCTTGTCTGTGACCTCAGTAGGTGTGTGTTCTCTCTCACACACACCTACCCAAAACAATACTCAGCTCAAAAGCTCCTAGTCCGGTTCACATACACTTTTGTCTGTGGGGCTTGTTTCCAGTTATGTTAATTGAGGGATGAGTTCACACCTATCAACCTCAACAGGGGTTTTAACCCAGCTCAACAAGGTTTCTTTCACCCAGCTCATTATTAAAACAAACACCCGCCTCCAAAAAAACCAAAAAACAAAAACCAACCCAAACCACTACTATTGTCAACTAGCCACATATCTACAGCATCAGGGTTAGAAATCCTGGCTTCTCTCATACAGATTACTTCCTCATTAACTAGGGGCTCGACCCTGCATTGTGTTGAGGATTATAGTGGCCCAAACTGAAGCCTAGTGAACTATTCACATGCTTATACTGTTAAGTACATGTTGATGTGTTTTGCTGGATTGGAACCAGAGAGCTCAGAACCTTGCAAGATGGCGTCCTAAGGGAACAGTTCTACTGTCTCAGCTGTTAGAGAGAAGCTACATATGGATGAATAGATTTGACATACTCCATCCAGCAGAAAGCAGTCTTACATAGCACAACTATAAGGATGAAATATCTGGAAAAGTATTGCTTAGACTGGCAGATGACTCATATAGATAAACATAGTACATATAGACAGGTTTCAGAGTAGCAGCCGTGTTAGTCTGTATTCACAAAAAGAAAAGGAGTACTTGTGGCACCTTAGAGACTAACAAATTTATCTGAGCATAAGCTTTCGTGAGCTACAGCTCACTTCATTGGATGCATTCAGTGGAAAATACATTGGGGAGATTTATATACATAGAGAACATGAAACAATGGGTATTACCATACACACTGTAACCACAGTGATCACTTAAGGTGAGCTATTACCAGCGGGGTGGCGGGGGGGGGGACCTTTTGTAGTGATAATCAAGATGGGCCATTTCTAGCAGTTGACAAGAACATCTGAGGAACAGTGGGAGGGGGTGGCATAAACATGGGGAAATAGGTTTCAGAGTAACAGCCGTGTTAGTCTGTATTCGCAAAAAGAAAAGGAGTACTTGTGGCACCTTAGAGACTAACCAATTTATTTGAGCATGAGCTTTCGTGAGCTACAGCTCACTTCATCGGATGCATACCGTGGAAACTGCAGCAGACTTTATATACACACAGAGAATATGAAACAATACCTCCTCTCACCCCACTGTCCTGCTGGTAATAGCTTATCTAAAGTGATCATCAGGTTGGGCCATTTCCAGCACAAATCCAGGTTTTCTCACCCTCCACCCCCCCACACAAATTCACTCTCCTGCTGGTGATAGCCCATCCAAAGTGACAACTCTTTACACAATGTGCATGATAATCAAGTTGGGCCATTTCCTGCACAAATCCAGGTTCTCTCACCCCCTCACCCCCCTCCCAAAAACCACACACACAAACTCACTATCCTGCTGGTAATAGCTCATCCTTATCCTGCTGGTAATAGCCCGTTGCCAACTGTGTCCACATATCTATTCAGGGGACACCATCATAGGGCCTAATCACATCAGCCACAATATCAGAGGCTCGTTCACCTGCACATCTACCAATGTGATATATGCCCTCATGTGCCAGCAATGGCCCTCTGCCATGTACATTGGTCAAACTGGACAGTCTCTACATAAAAGAATAAATCTACACAAATCAGACGTCAAGAATGATAACATTCAAAAACCAGTTGGAGAACACTTCAATCTCTCTGGTCACTCGATTACAGACCTAAAAGTAGCAATACTTCAACAAAAAAACTTCAAAAACAGACTCCAATGAGAGACTGCTGAATTGGAATTAATTTGCAAACTGGATACAATTAACTTAGGCTTGAATAGAGACTGGGAGTGGATGGGTCATTGCACAAAGTAAAACTATTTCCCCATGTTTATCCCCACCCCCACCCCCACTGTTCCTCAGATGTTCTTGTCAACTGCTAGAAATGGCCCATCTTGATTATCACTACAAAAGGTTCCCCCCCCACCAACCCCGCTGGTAATAGCTCACCTTAAGTGATCACTCTGGTTACAGTGTGTATGGTTTCAGAGTAACAGCCGTGTTAGTCTGTATTCGCAAAAAGAAAAGGAGTACTTGTGGCACCTTAGAGACTAACCAATTTATTTGAGCATGAGCTTTCGTGAGAACTTACAGAAGTTCATCCGATGAAGTGAGCTGTAGCTCACGAAAGCTTATGCTCAAATAAATTGGTTAGTCTCTAAGGTGCCACAAGTACTCCTTTTCTTTTTAGTGTGTATGGTAACACCCATTGTTTCATGTTCTCTATGTATATAAATCTCCACACTGTATTTTCCACTGAATGCAACCGATGAAGTGAGCTGTTGTTCACGAAAGCTTCTGCTCAAATAAATTTGTTAGTCTCTGAGGTGCCACAAGTACTCCTTTTCATAGTACATATAGGCTTTGCTATGCAAGGAAGCGATAGATGCATTTCACTGTCACACTAGCAACAATTTTAGAAAGCTATTAACTGTAGACTCTTCAGTTTCTCATTTAAACTTATGTGCTGTGCTATTATAATG